TTGTAGTTCAGGTAAGACCCATATACTGTAAATGGATCAAAATTCAGTGAAGTTCCTTCCTTGTTCTTAAATTAGCAATCTCATTATCAGCCAATACAACAAGTAACACAACAAATCTTTACTTCAGTTATATAGCCAATACACTGAGGTACATATACTTGCTCTTAAACACCTACATTAATCCTAAAAGCTTAAAATCCTGCTGATGAAGCCAAGAATTTATTTGCATGTAGATATCACACACAGCTATATATGCATAGCCTCATCTCAGTCCTTACTTGACAAAAATAATTCCCAGGCCTTCCTATACCATTGTTTAAAACTCCAGCACTGAAGCCGTATCAGAAACTGCTGGTAGCAGTATGTTCTGCCACTTTAAGCCAGGCAAAACAAAACTATGATTGCTCAACAGAGAAGAAAATCTTGATGGAAAGTGAAGACATTTATAAGATGCTAAGTCATCATTTAATTATGCAAAAGGATTTTAAATTTTTTTAATGATATGAAAAAGGTGACAGTGCTCTTTTGTGTTTACATTTTTATACTTCAAATTGTAAAGTAAACTTCAGAACCGTAAGTATAAAACTGTGAGACCAATGAAAAATATTAAGATTCAGACAATGAATTATAAGAGGTTTTTATTATTTGCCTTGAGGTTTTTGAGTCTTCAGGGTGTGATTTTATCACATCTGCAACCTCTTCTCCCGGAGGCTAAAAAACTATTCACTTTTAAACATAACAAAATGACAGCCAAGAATCCTGTATCATCATTTGATCTTGGCAGCTGAAAGCTCACAGAAAAAAAACAAACATCAACTATCATGAGATTTGTGATAAAACTGCAAGATCTGACATTCCTGCCAGTAAGATTCAGATCTGAAGTAAGAACTTGTATTCAATCACACTTAATCCTTAGAGAAATAATTCGAGTTCAAGTTTGTTGAATGCATTTATCCCACTGATAATAATTTATAACTTTACCCTTGCCATACAGGTAATTGGATATGATTCCCAAGGTACCAGGTTTCTGCTCACGCCGTCAGGAATGCCTTGGCCTAAAAGGGTATGAAAATATTGACTATATACTAAGAGAGCATAATGAGTACTGTAGGACAGTAGGACATACAACATCTCTTTTATAGGCATGGCCACAGGACAACTACATTACTCACAAGTTATGACACCAACAATGACTTAGGGGACTGCTCTAAATTTATGCCTCTAAAATGTTTTTACCATACCAGAAAGTCATCATTTCAGCCTATTGCATGTAGTTTAAGTAAGGCCACTTGAAAAAAAAAAAATCTAAATTATTGTTATGCTTAATTGACAGTCTTTTCCATACTCCTTCAACTGTGTAAATCAGTCTTTAGCAGAAGGAATCCTCTTATAATGCTTTCACATGAAACATGCAGGGATTGAAGTCTACTGCAGTGTAAAAAAGCCACTCTTCACTTTCATTGCTCATGGGATGTCTGGATTCAAATGACTCCCTAATTCAACACTATATATTGTCCTGAAGAAATTCTAGCAAGGCAGATTACACATGGAAACATTTCTTTGACAGGATCACTTCTTAAAAATGGGTGCTGTTAAAAATTTCTCAGTTATTGGGAATATGAGTAGTCACACATGAAGATGAAGAGGTGAGCGAAGTACAGGTGAAGCAGTGAGAAGTTCACAATCAGTGCACTCATCCACACCAGGGAATTATCACATCAGAAATGTAATTCATCTGTCCTAGGAAGACTATCAGAAGCAATATGTTCATTGCAGGAAGATATTTAGAATATTTCCATAAAAACCATGTCAGTAAGACTGATTCTTTCTATTTAATTCTCCCTTTTTCCAGTTCTGTCTCAGTAGATTAATACATCAAGAAATAATGAGATTTTGGGAAACTTAGATGAAAAATACATCTAGGCCATAGTTTCCTGCATTATTGCCAAGAAAAAATAAAGGGAACTGTTTATTAATTTCCAAGGACATAAGAGAAACAATTCTTAATAGTTTAAGAAATGGTTTTAAGAACTACAAAGGGTGAAATGAATAATGATGGCTACCATTAAGTAACTAATAAAGCCTGCTAGAATAATGCAAAATATGTCAGGTGTTAAACACATTAACATGCCAACCAAACTATTTTCTCCTTGCCTTGCATAATACAGTCCAGCATCAGGCACAGCTTGGCAGGTAGGAGGGGCAAGGTCAATCAGGGAGACGTGTCAGCACTGTGACTGGAATGCCTCCTGGTAGAACAGCAGCAATGGATCTCAGATCTTTCTGTATTTTACTGCTGCAGCAAAAGGACTTCTTGTCTTGACATCTGCTAGAATTTTGATTTGACTCCAAACTCTGTAACTAAAACTGCTACTGACTCAAAGGAAATTTTGCTTGACAAATCCTGACTTTAAAATTGGAATCTAATGTTATCTTTGTTATTTGGGACTGAAATCCCAGTAAATACAGTGAATTTATTTTTAAGCAGTTTCATAAAATGAGCATGGGTGGTGCAGATCTGACATGGGCAAGTGGGTGAGTGGCTAGAGCAAGAACCTGCATTTGGTCCAGGCCAGCTCTGTAGGCTAGGAGGTCTCACCAGGGCTGAGCACATTTCCTAGTCAGAGCCCAGGAAGGAACCAACCGAGATCATTTGGTATGAAAGACAGAAAGGGCATAATATATCATAGGCATGGTGGCAAAGGAAGGACATTTGTATTTCTTCATTTTGAGGAATCCAGCTACGTGTTTTATATTCATGTTGAAGAATGACAATGACATTGGTTAATTCAACATTTTACAACACATGTGAAGGGCCAAGCAAGGCCAAACAATGAGTTATTTCTTCTTGAGCCCATCTATTTATAGCACAAGGCAAATATAGATCCAACCACGTGCTAAGGCTCTCTTGTTGTAATGCTTTGGTCTTTGCACCAGGTTCCCCCTGGCAGTCAGCAGTCTTTGGTTACTTCACTGTGTCTGTGGGGATGCCCAGAGCTGGCAGACAAATACTAAAACCGCAGCAACTTCTTCACTTGTTATTTTTGGCAAAAAAAAAATGAGGTATGTGACTCCCACCAGTGCAGAAACGTGTCACTGAAGGAGGCAGGTAGTGACACACAGTGAAATTCAATGAACCTGCAAAAAAACAGTGTGTGTTTGGCCCCCACGGGATTGAATTAACACAGGGCAAAGGAAGTGAAAACTTCCTTTCTCTTGCAGAGCTACTGTGCATCCTCCAACGCTGGGGTGCTGCTGGAGACTGCAATAACTTCAGTAGCCTCTTTAAACCCAAATCAATGGCTGTCTTTCATCCTGATGAATGTGGATTCCTGGGTCCACCTCAACATTGCTGACATCCCAGTTTTATGCAACAGCTCCCTCACCTGTCCCTCTGTACAGAGAGGGGCACCCGGAGTCTGTTCACTCTGGATCTTCCTAAAACTGACAGCAAGTACTTAGCAAGCTTTCCAAAAAGGCATCACAGCACCAATCTGTTTCATGGATAAATGGCAACGAGGCAGAGATACTTTCAATATCTAGTAAACAGCACGGATGCTGTCACAGAAGACTGGGTTTTGATTAGTTTTAAAAAAATATGCATTTTTATACATCTGCATTTCTATACACTAAAAGAAGGCTCATTAAAACCAGGTGAGTGGAGGAGGCAAATTCCCTTCTCGTCAAAGAATAGAAGTGAATACAGTGCACTGCAATCCAAACCCATTCATACAGGGAAGCTCTAGTTCCCAAACTCAAATTAGGCTAACCAGTACCAGTAATCATCAGAAGAAATTCAGATGATAGAAAACATATTATACTGATAACTTCCTGGAGTCATGCTTATCTTTGTGTTACTAGTCATCACTTGCATAGGTGAAGAGAGGTTAATCACAGTAGGAAGCTGTTATGAAATAATTTTGACTGAGGAAATAACCAATTAAGTTTCCTCTGAGGCAAACAAGCATAGCTGCAAGCATTTGAGCTCCTCTGGAAACAATAGTACTATTCACAAGACTAAAGTAACAAGCATATTGCAGAAGCAGGATGTGAAAGGAAAACCTTCATGTATCAACAGCTTAATGGACACACTGTAACTCCAACTATCTCCCATATCTATATATCTATTTGAACATGTGCATACACCATCTATTTAAGGAGGCTCCCCAACACGCTGCTATACACAACTCGTTTGCAACATGTAAAGCAACAAACACAGGCAAAGCTTTCAGTTTCTAAGAGCATCTTTCTGATCAAGTGTGCTTTTGCAAACAGATGCTGCAGAACATGAAAACAACCATTCTGACTAATTCCATCTCTCTCAGCAGAAACCCTGTCTTTAAAAGTCACTCATCACTGAATGGCCTTTGGTCTGCAGAAAAATGTGAAGTATGTTTTAATTACATCCCCAGTGGCCTCCCACTTGATGTCCCGTCCACTGTATCTCTGGCGAGACAACCTTATCTCTGGATATTTTTCAATTACACTAAACAGCATTTATTCAAGTCCTTACTGATTCACTGTACCCGAGCATGGTTATTTGCTCTTTAACTCTAATTTTGAAAAGTGAAGTCTGCCTCATTAAACGATGTAAGATTTCCAGTAACATTTAGTAATAATGGCTACATTAATTAACATCACATTCAAATGGAATCCCTCTGAGGATACTTATCACACTGCTAGCATGTTTATACCTAACGTGTTAATATCAGCTCATGTTCTTACAAGAGAATTCTTGCTTTACGACAATACATTCTAGTTGTGAATTAAGTACCACTTGATATGTTAGATATGCTGTCCCTACATTTTAACGTAGAATATCACTCACAGGTTTCATTCACATTTTGTTTCCTCTTTACAACAGTCAGTCATATGCATCAAATGAACTGGATATCAGCCCTGCGTGGCAAAGATGCCTTTTCCATGTCATCAGAGTTTTCAGAGACAGCCTCTTGCAGCACTCTGCAATACACGGAAAAATTCCCTCATGCACATCTTACCTCTTTGGTGTGGGTATGGAAGGAGACTGACATGTCCAAGAGAAGTTTCCTCTGTTCCACTCTCCGGACAAAGTCCTGAATCCGTACTTCCAGATGCCGGGCTGCTTTATAGATCTCTTCAGGGTCACATTCCCCAGTCTGAGCCAACTGCTCCGCAGCCTCCAAAAGCTTGTCTGCATTGGTGTATGTATTCTACCAGCAAACAAAGCAAGAAACGGAGTATGAGTAATACAACTGTGGCAAGTAAACCCCTGAAACAGGCTGTTGATACTTTCAAAGGCATGAAAGCAAGTGATTACCAGAGTTTTAAAACAATAGTAATAATTCCTACTGGCACTTCCATCTGTGAAAGGAGAATGTATAAAGCCACATAGACTAATCCCTGAGTGCACATGAAATAATTTCTCCTGCCAGGCACAGCAACAGGACTGTGCACTTGTTTATTTCCAAGTCCCTTGGTATTTCTCAAAGATAACGTAATGAAGCAAGTGGGACTAACCACCTCAGAAGCCTACGGTGCCTCACGTGACACTTGGATACAAGCTCATTGCAAAGGCCTCCCAACAGCTATCACATTACAGCATGTAATCACGTTAGCCAGAGATGTCTCAGCCTCAAGAAACATTTGCCTTTCACTGGCTCTTGTGAGATAACTTGAGAGGACGGTGTCTTCAAGTTCCTTCTACGTCTTTTCCTCTCGTCTACTGTTCTGCATCATATTTCTAAACGGAGTAAGTCTATTTTATCAGCTTGCAGCTGCCAATATGTAATGCTCAGATTGCTTTGGAGAGGTAACTCCTCCAGTCTGTGGAAGGCACCTACCTGCTCTCTATTACATAAGAATTTGAACACTTCACCATCCTGAATAGATTTACCCCATAGCCACAGCCTTTGCGATATGAGATGTATTACTCCTACTCCACAGAGAGGGAACTGAAGAACACAGGAGCTAAGCGATGTACCCAATACATGCCAGACTACGGAGGAACAGAAGGGAATTACATCAAACTTATCTCAGCTTTCAAACTACCTGCCCATCCTTTCTCTCCCTCTTTCATATTTCTGGAAAACACCACTGAATTAATACACCAGAGAGTCTCACAAATAACAGCAGAAATGGAAAGGGAGCACAGCCATCTTCTCCATAGCCATGGAGCTATGGTTTAGTCAGCTATGTCTAGCTAACTAAACATAGCCGGCCCTCGCTGTCATAGAAAGCTTTCTTCATTCAAGTTGAGGCCAATAGCTCTGTGGCATTTAACACTTAACAAAAATAAGGATAGACAAATATATCAGTTTAAGTGTGTTTCTAGTACCCGGTGAGATCTCCAGAAATGCTCAGTATTGGCCTAATACTGCTCCCACTGGGAATTTTAACCTCCCTTTCAAGAAAAGTAGAATTGTAGCACTTTCCTTTTCAAAATCCTACTGAGAATCCTCCTCAGTTTAAAAATGCATTAACTTTATAGGTATACCCAAAATACCTTTGGACACTGTGGACACACATGTACTACTGAGCATTAAAGGCACACTGTCAAACATAAAAGCCATGAATCAAGTCATGTTGTTTTTACTTAGATAATATCTCGCTGCAGTCAATAGCTGTGGCTGGAGAAAATATTCAATGGAAAGATGGAACACTGGCCTCCAAGTGTTTAATAGGGGAAAATATTTCCAGTTATAAAAAGCAGAAAGAAAACAGCTCATTCACTGTTCATTTTCCCAGTTTCTGAGGGCTGAATATAAATCTACAGTATCTGCATTTCTTCTTTTGGACTGTGAAGAACATATTCTAGATAGTTTTGTTACCAATAGTAAATTTTTATTTCCCGTACTGCTATAACGGTTAGGTTGTTAACAGTTGCAAAATGTTATGCTTTAATAATCAGTTTTTGGAAACCTCTTTAGCTGAGAATTTGTAAAAAATGTTCCATTTAATACGATCTGAATTAGGGTCCAGTTTCACTTAACAACATCCTTTCTGAATGATCCTCTTCCAATAGTATTTGGAGCAAATGCCAAAGCCAGCACTAGTTTTCAAAGTTTACTCCACTCTAGCGTTTTTCACACAGTACCACCACAACAGCTCAAACACCATTCCAGTTCCCTGGGGAGAAGGCTGTCCTCTGCTTTCATTTATAATACTTAGTATACTTTTAAACCCATTCACCCTCTGCTCATGGCACAGATTCGAGACACATCCACCTTTGCTGAAATACAGTATGACACAGCTTTGCTGCATTTGTCTCTAAAACACTTATGTATATCTCTGCTGAAAACCACTATGAGTTCACTGACTCCAACACGTGATGTACCTAATTACGTCTAGAAGAGGTAAGTTCACCAATACAATCATCAGATATAAATACACCGCATGGTGAAAAGGGTGTAGGCCGAGCCCTAGACTTCGGGGAAAAAAGAGTGCAGACTGGCCTCAACAGAGGCTCTGGCCACACTGCACAAACAGTAAAGGATGCAGCGGTCCCACAGCACTCCCTTTGTATTACACAAGGTTCTCCAAAGGCAAAGGGGATTTTCTGCAAGGAAGCTGTCTGGATGTGGAAGGAGGCACATGCAGTGTTTCACCTGGGCTATGCCAGACACAGGCATCCAGTGATGCTTCCCTGAAGCATTCGTACCTAATTTTGGACACGTTTGCTTAAATATATCACATACAAGAAGCCTGAATGCAACACATATTAAGTACGGTGAAATTTTTGTTCACCTGTTTTTCCGTCTTTGTCCACTGAGTTCCCAGCTGAGTGTCTGGGTATTAATTAAAAACAGGTGCAGTTTATGATAGGAAAAACACTAATGGCTTTGTCTCTGTCATTCTAGAAGGAAGGCCTGGTGCTGAGAGATTTCCAGCTCACTGTTGCAGATTTAAGGAGTTTAGATATATTTCAGATAACCAGCCACATTTGGGAGTTAACTACACTCATTTTGAACTTCAAAGTTTGATGTACTCATGAAAGGATTGTCATCTACTGTCAGCTGAGATATAAACATGGCACAGGACAAATAAGCTGGAGGCTAGTTATTTGGTGAGAGCCTGCTCTACTTTTGTTCTGTTCATTTGTTTCAAGTGTCCATTAATCATATCAGAAGTTGTGGTGCATATCAAATGTTTTCACGTACATCTATGTCTCTACAAGTTCTGAACTAAAGTTATGTTGAACCTGAGAGCTCCATCCTGGTTAGTACTATAACGCTCCACTGCTTGCCTGCTTCGTACACCTTCCTTCTGAGCTCACTCTCTTGTTAGTAAGATCTTCAGAGTTTAGACCCTTGTTTCATTTGTTTGGAGCACTTTTTACTTTTTTGGTGTGACATCACCCTGGATCAGGCAGGGTGGGAATCCAAGAGAGAATTAAGTTTCCTGATGAAGAGAAGCATATAATGACTCCTTGTCCCTTGTCCTTATCAGATTCCCCAGCCTTCTGAGATCTGGAAGGATCTACCAAGGGCACAGGATCTAGGTACATCTCCAAACTGGCATGAAGATTCAAAACTTCGGAAGGCGGTAAAAGCTAATGCAACCTCAGAAGGAAATTTTTGCTACTAGAAGGACAATCATGGCTGTCTCCTTTTCTGCCAACCGCAGACCCATGGAAGGTTTTCTGTGGAATCCTGAGGAAGGTGACATGAAAAATGGCTAATCTCTCCAGAGTGAAGATCCTATGGAGAATCTCTCTTCTACATCTGTGGAAATTAATTCCTATCAAATGATAATAGCACAAGTTCCACAGGAAAAGAATCTATGAGTTATAAAATTATACACTCTCTAAAACTTCAGGAGTGTGTGATATTTTTTCCTAACGTTGCATTAACCCCTGAGAGAACTGTCATGTGTAAACCCTTGAAATTCTCAGTGATCTGCTAGCTGGCATTACATACTTCTGCACTGTTTCAAGCACAACCCAACTTCCATCTCAAATCTCTTAATAATCTTTCTATACTAATCTTTCCATAATCACCTATTTCAATCATGAAATCTGCAATCACAAGAAAATTAAACTGCACCCGTCAGGTTTTAGAATGGAAATGACTGTAATGCATGCTTTCGGAATTCATTTTAGAAAGAATCAAGAGGCCTTCATACCTCTTCTGTTTCTTTCAAATAAAAAAAACCTCAAACACAATTATGGAGAAGAAATAGTCTAATAAAACCTATACAGCAATCCCTACCACAATGCAGAATCTGAGGTGATTGTTGTCTTATCCCATGGCAATATTTGCTAACAGGATTCCCATAACTTTGGTTCATTAATTGTTAACAGTTTGATATTCTATAGCAAGTTGAAAAAAAAATGGCTTATGAAAAAGCTGATGCAAAATTTGCCTGTTATATTTATCATGCTTTTCTTTGCATCTCAGATCAACAAATGCCAAAATGTCAGGATCCATTTCTATCTCTGACTCAGGTAGCAGATCTCAGTCAAGATTGCACCATGTCTTCAGTTTAACACATGAAACTGCATTGAAAATGCACTATCCAAATACAGCTTTCAGCAAACTACCTAACAGATTTCCATAAAGTTGAAACAAACATTACTTTGTCCATAATCTTTGTGCCAGAGAAGTGTTTTGTCAACTGTTCTCTCCAAGTCTTTTTAACTCTGAGTAGGAGTTGCACTGATTCTCATCATCAGAGAGAATTGGCTGCACGCAGTTTGTGCTTGACCTCATCTGTTACTCAGAAAATAGCACTGCAGTGCTCAGTATAAATCAAGGACCCTAATTCTGATTTCAAAGTATTTGGCATTTTTTCCCTAATTAAAAAGAAAAAAAAAAAAAAGAGAAAATACTGAATAAGGCATCAGTTAATTCTTGGAGCAGTGTAAGGTTAGAGGCAGCAGAACAGAAATATTTTGCCTTTCTTATTTATGGTATGTATTGCAAGCTAAAGAAATCCAATATCTTTGTCACTTAGAAACAAATTAGAATGGAATGGAATAGAATAGTTCAGTTGAAAGTGACCTGCAACAATCATCTAGTCCAGCTGCCTGACCACAAGTTAAAGCATGTTGTTAAGGACATTGTCCAAATGCGTCTTAAAACACTGACAGGCTTGGGGCATCAACCACCTCTCTAGGAAGCCTGTTCCAGTGTTTGATTATCCTCTTTGTAAAGAAATGCTTCCTAATGTCCAGCGTAAACCTTCCCTGATGCAGCTTTGAACCATTCCCAAA